TGTATCATTAGAGTTCAGGGTCAAAGATTTTAAACATTCAGCAGCACTGATATTGCACCAGGCTATTAAAATATGTACCCAATAACTGTCTGGAAAGAGACACCCTCACATATCCTCCAGGCTTAGGCCTCTCCTATCTTAAATAGGAGCCATCCTTCCCTTCATATTCTCTCCAACAACAGTTACCATGACCTCATTTTTCTTATCTCCACGGAAAGATGTTTTGAGCTCACCCTTAGTTCCTCAAACTCAGTCTGTTGCATTCTCACCTCTCCCGTATCTGACTGAGGGGCCCTGCTCCAGTGGCCAGCACCTTCCTGTCGCTGGACCCAGTGGGCATTTTCAGTCCTCTTTCGACATGACAGGGCTGGCCGCTCACATTCCCTTTTTCCTGAGCCATTAGAAACTGCTCTTTTCGTTCTCCTACTTTTTCAACTTCCTTTTGTGGGCTTTTTTACATTCGAATATTTGCTCAATTCACCCACTGATTTACTCACTGACTTATTCATTCACTCTACAAATATTTGTAGAGCGACTATTATGTGCCATGCACTGAGCTAAGTGCTAGGAACACACTGGTGAATAAAACAAATCAGGTCTTTTTTATATTCTTTCCCAATGCATCCCGAAAATCAAATTCAAATGCTTTCAGGGGCAAGGCAGCAAGTGAAGAGAGTGTTAGTGCTAGGACCACAGAAAAGCACACGCCTACCTAAAGCATTCAAATTCCACTTTTAAAACAATACTGAACCAAGACGGCAAAAAAGTCCGAGGTGATGTTCTGCCCTACACATCTTCCTATCCCTCATTCTCCCAGGCTGACCTCATGCTTGCTCATGGCTCCAATATTCAGCTCTGCTTTGATCACTCTGAAATCTGTACTTCCAGTCCAGATACCTTTTCTGAACCCTATACTCATAGTCCAGCTGCTTAAAGGACATGTCTATTTAGATATTCCAATGGCACTTCAATCTTAACATGGCCAAACTGAATTGGTGGCCTTGTGTCGCCACATACCTGCTCCCACTTCAGTGTCTCCTAAATTAATGAATGCCACCACCACTTACCCTGCCACCCAAGTCAGAGACCTGGGACCTTTAACACCTCTTTCCTCACACACTACCTTAAGCAACCCTGTTTTACCAATTTTACCTCCAGAATGTGCACACCTCTCCCTCTATCTCCCCTGATGGCACACCTGAAGTCACCACGATCATCTCTCTCCCAGTAAGTACAACAGCCTTCTAATTGGTCTGTCTCTACTGTAGCCCTTCTGATTCTTTTCTGAATCACAGTGACAAATATCTTTCCAGAATGCAAATCTGATCAAGTCATTCTGCTGTTTATACCTTTGATTAATTCCTCTGCTCTAAAGAAAAAGCAGATACTCTGATCAAGACATGTTCACCTCTACTGTTCAATCTCTTGCCATGTCCCACTCTCAGCTCAGCATTTCTGCTGTTTAATTTCTCTTTTGCCAGTACACATCTGACCTTGCTGTTCTCTCTTCCATACTCCCTTACCTATCTGATTCCTACCCATTCTTCAGATCTTAATACAATCTTTACAATACCCTCCTAACTTAATGTGCTTACACAGAACCCTATCATAACATTTCTGTAATTGTTTGTTCTCTCTTTCTAAATAGTAATCTCTGTACCTGGAACATAGTAGACATACAATAAATGTGAATAAATGAGTGAATATTAAACAAGATAGGTATAAGTGAGCTTTAGTCTTAAACTAATTCTTGTACTTCTAATCCCCTCTTCTTTTTTTAACTTAGGGATATGTTGTTATCTCTTCAGAAAAATTTTCAGACTTCAAGGTAGGGCTCGTAGATACTATCCAGTTTTTCTTTGCTTTTTTTTTTATGGGAGTGGGGAGAACACTCGGAGAACCAATGCACGCACGGCACCCAGCAGAGAGAAGAGCGGCATGAAGAGCCCGACCGCCAAAGGTGCAGTCCACCCCCGAGCCACGTACTCGGTAGGAGTGGAACAACTCTATGGCCCGGACCACATCGAACTTCCGGGCCATGAGGAACTTGACAGCCACATTCCAAGAGAGAGGGGAAACGTTGTACTGAACTGTCCACTTGTTAATCTCTTCAAGAAACTGCTTGGTGGCCTGTTTGACAAAGAAAATAAAGAATAATTAGTAAGTTGAGAAATACTATGGAAACAAAAAACAAACAAGCAAGAAAAAAAATATATCAGTCTTTTCCCAAGCAAATCTGAACCCAAAGTTTATTACCAGAAGCAGGGAAAGACAAAAGTTGGAAACAGGTCTGAAGCTAGAAATAGTTAAAATTTGTACAATTCAATGAGGCCAGAAGCCAGAGCTAGGTTCAGAGAGCAGGGCTTAGCACAGGGGTGAAGAAATAATGAGGGGGGACAAGGCTCCCCAATGAGATGCAAATCACTGGCTCCAAAGCAAAAAACAGCAGAGTTTGTTTCTTGTTGTTTTTATATGGGTTGTTTGTTTTTTTAAAGGTGGGTGGGCCAGCTCGAGGGCTATTGCTTAATGTGCGGTATAGCACAGCACTCTCAGTTGCTGCTTCGGTCCCAACAAACCATCTGGACACAGCAAAAGAATCAGAAAATGGTTTTGACGAGCTTTGGAATTAGCAATACTATTTGAGAGCAGCAAAACTATTACCGAGAATTGAACAGATCAAAAGGTCAACTGTTCTCTGGGCTAACTGACCCCACAGGACCTCTTCATGTTTCATGTGGCAGCCCAAAAACCGATACGAGTGCCCAGAGAGTCATCAACAGCCCCTCTGGATAGTGACTTTGGGGGTCAGTGTAGAGAGCCTCATATTGGTGCAAGGGTGGGAAATTTTTATTTTCAGTCTGATCCCAAGCTGGCAAGATGCCTGTTTCTAGAATCATTCCAATCTCTTGATTAACCCATGTTCTTTTATCCCCTCTCACCCTATTTCTCCTTAAAATTATAACAAATTTTCACTGTAGCCACACACACTACCCATTTGTGTCTTTATTTTAGTATAGGATAGATTTTTTTTTTTTGTAAGCACATTCTAAATTGCTGAACACTTTCTGCATAGTTATTTGGTCCCTTGCATACAGAAACCTTTCTCACGTGTTGGTCAAAATGTAATCGACTTCATGAGAATTCTGAAATTAGATTCTGAAATAAATCAACCGATCTCCCTACAGTTAAATGTATTTATTACCAAACTATTATGTATTTATTAACTATTTGTACTATCTGTGCTAAGAAGAATAAGTAATACAAAAATGAGGTGAGCTCCAAAAGGTATAAGACCGAAACCACTGCGTGGCCGGGCCAGGATGATTCTTGTTCACCTCGCGTTTTCCAATTGAAAAGCACGGGGACAAAAGGTGACAGCAGCGACCTATTCCAGAGTCTCGGCAACAAGTCCTGCTTTGCAAATATCATCCAAATTGCCACATTCATGTTTAAAAAACTAGCAAACTAGAGGCTCAGGAGAGTCAGCAATACCTCACACAGAGTACCTGATCCATCCCCGAATTTCCAGGAAAGGAAAAAGGCACTCTGCAAACCGGAGTGAGACGGAAGCGGCCCTCAGGCTGCACCTGAGCTTCGGCCCCTTCCAACTGAAGCGATATGACTTAGACCACCAGAAAAGAGGAAACCAGCAAAACTAATCAGGCAAGAAGTGCATATAAAGAGCCAAAATATTAAAGCCATGAAGAAAAACTTTGAGACAATCATGTTGGCCAGAAGCAGTTTAAATCAGACCAGAAAAATGAGTCCCAGAGAAGACAACAGGACAAACTTGGAAGCTCCACCAGAAAACAGTTTGAATTGGCCCTGGCGGGTAAGTGGCCAGGACCCGAATGAGGAAACACAGCAGGCAGAAGAGCGGTGGGCACAGAAAGAGCCCAGGCACAACACGCCGGTGAGTCCAGAAGGTCGCCAGAGTGTTTGTAAAGGGTATTTATTTATAATTAACATCTCTTAAATTCTGGCTTCTCCTCAGGCTTGTCTGGAGCTGTCTGCAGAATAAAACACCTGAATAACAGAACATACTTGTTCCCTTTTCCTCATAAAAACTACAGAGAAATCAATATGCAGGTAGGAAGGAAAATATAGTTAAATGACCAGAAGATGTTATGAACTCATCACATATCCAACTGTTAAAATGATTTTTCATTTTCCATAAATAAACCATGCCCTAATAAGAGACACGCAAGATTTACAAACTTCCTTCAAAGTACATACTGGCTTCCTTCTTCTTAAATTCCTCAAGGTTCTTAATGTTCTGCAGCTCCCAAGAGCTGCTGCCTTGAACTGACCTCTGTTCCCTGCAGGTCAGGATGTTATTCTTGGCTTTGAGCACGGGAACAATTCTTCCTGGTCTGGCTTGACTGGCCTTGCATGAAGAGTCCAGTGTACTGTAAACAGTGATGTGTTACTTACAGATACAAACACATACACACACCACCTGTTACATTCAGCCTCGGATTCACACCCTGCATCCCACCCCTCTGATGGAAGAGACAGGCCTCTGAAAGAAGTCAGAAAGGATGGTCTCATCTGGAACAGCCTTTCTCTAGACAGTTAATCAGGTCTCTTCCTTTGTTTACACATAGATTTGGCAGAGCCACTGAGTACAGACCAGTTTGTGGCCTTGTTGGTTACCAGAAAAACAAGTCCCAGCAATTTCAGTGAGCAATACACTCTTCAGAAAGGAGAACTACAATTCCTGAAATTAATATTGTGTATTTCTGCTGAAAGGAGGAATGAGTCAAAAGATGAGTCACAGATAAGAAACTACTTCAACTCAAGGTCGGTGGATTGAACCTATCTAGCCTTGAGTTACCCACAAGTTGGTAACACCTGGCAGCTAAGGAGTGGCCATAGTTCAAACTTTGGTCTTCCTGCAGAAAAAAGGTATTAACTGATGTACAGAAAAACTAACATTACCGCTTGCAACCCTCCTCAGCCAGCTTTTCAGGTACAAGATTCGTTTCAGCATAGTTGAAAGCTTACTGTAATTTCATACTTCTCCCACAACCATTTAAACAGATAAAAACAAATTTCTTGACTATGGACATGAAGAAAAAGACACTAGAGAACCTGCTATAAAATGACTAAGAAATCTGTCGGTTAAGTGGATGACACCCTAGACACCATCCACCGGAGCTGAAATATGGTGTAAGAGAATAAATGAAACCAACAACATAGTCTTCGTGTTAAATCAAACTCCCAGAGAGCAGCCACAATTTTGAGATGAGTTCTAGGCAAAGGGCTAGCCACCCAAAAGGCCAAGAAAAATGTGTTGGCACACTCAGTTTCATAGTTAGTGCCTTGAAGCCTGTATTCCAAGACAATGTGGGAGAGTGAAAAGCTAGACCTTTAAGAAACCTACTCTAGGAATAAACAGAAAACTTCTGTCTCTTAGGATGTCAGCTACCTAACCACCAAAGAAAAGTCTAGTAGTCTTGGGAATACTTTTGGGAACTTGGGAATCGGAAAGAACCCATCCTCTCTCCGTGCCATGTGATAGTTGAGCAAGTCATTTAACCTCTCTGAGCCTTCAATTTCCTCACCTGAAGAGATGAGGCTTGAACTATAATTTGCAATCACAATATAGGTAGGTCACAGGGAAGGCAGTATAGCACGGAGAAGACCAGTAATGACTCAATAGCATCTTACTATGCTGACACGGTGACTGCAATGGGGGGGTGAGGAGTTGACAATATGGGTGAATGCCGAAACCACAATGTCGTTCATGTGAAACCTTCGTAAGAGTGTATATCAATGATACTATAATAAAAAAACAGTGAGGCTTGACTGAATATGACAACAGATAGAAAAACATCCACCACACCTGGAACAGGGTAGATGGACCGTGAATGGCTGCTCATTTTTTTTTTACTCTAGTCATTTCACATTACAACTTCTTTCAACAAAGACAGAGTTCGAAATAATCAAGTGACCTCTGTTTTTCTTTAGCCTGTTTAGCAACTCAATTTCTCTAATAAATTTCATCCAAAAGAACAAATTTAGATCAGAAACCGCCAAAACGTGTTCAACTGCAAGACAAAAGCCTCCAAAGGAGCAACTCCTCCTCATTTGGACTCTGGCAGCACAGAAGCTGGGTCCGAAAGTATTTAAACCCACCCCTATGCCCATCTCTCAATCCTCCTGTCCCTACTTTCAGACTCACTGGCAGCTTTGGGGATTAACACTGTCATCCTGAGCCCAAGTCCTTTTTAACAGCATTGAACTTACTAAAGACTATTTCTCATTATAATAAAGGGACAACTTTGTGCAGGACAGACACCATGCAAAAAATGCGGTCAGTCAGTCACCCTGCACTGAATATCTAAATAAGGAAAGTGATTCAATGTAAGTCTCAGTGCCTCCCCTTCACCAAATCTGAGGTTACCTCTGCATTTCAGCAAATATGCCATTTCCTCCTTAACTTCAGTGACAGATGCATTGGTAAACTTCCTCTTATGCTCATTTTCTCAGATTTCCTTCACTGTAAATCATTGCCTGTTACATCTATTAATCCCTTCAGTCCATTAACAATTTGATAATTGATAAGAATAGAATGTATGTGAAACAGAATATATGTGAAGATACACTAGCTTCCTGTACTAGAGTAAGGTAAAGTTTGTTGCATTTCCAAACTGAAAGACTGTATCTTGTCATTAGCCTTTGTTATTGTGCCAAATATGGAAATGAACCTAGTCCCTCTGAATAATATTTAATGGTTTATCTCAGATATTTTCGTTTTATCAGGAAAATTTTTCCTTTTCTTAAACTGATTTTAAAAGAGCCAATGCTTTCCTAAATATCGTTGTACTGCCATCTGGGAAGGAAAAAGTTTAAAGAAGAATTTCTGGTTTCATGTTATGAAACAATGTAATTAAGGAAATTTGCAAAAAGGAAACGTCACCCATAATCCCATCGTTCTGCAAAGCTGTTTTCATGTTTTTAACAATTTAAAAATCAAGGTCAACAGAAAAATACTAATGAATAACTTTCTAAGTATACGTTCCCACAACCCCCCACACATACCCTCACTCCCACACACACACACACACGTTGGCGGTGGGGGGAGGGAGAAGAAAGAAAGAATATATTCAAGTACATATTGTTCT